ACTACTTTGTAAAAATCCTCCAGATAAGCTTGAATTGCCATTAGTGAATCTACTAAAAATTTTGTTTTTTCTGGGAACTTGCAAGTAATAATACTTTGCCAGTTGCAAAGTATTATTACTTTGCAAGTTCCCAGAAAAAACAAAATTTTTAGTAGATTCACTAATGGCAATTCAAGCTTATCTGGAGGATTTTTACAAAGTAGTTTGTTGAGAGTAAGTGAATAAACTGTTTCAATCCCTCAATTCAAGGCCAACAACATTGAACTTGCTTACTAAATAAACAGACCGCATAGACTTACCTAAATATTTAACCATGAAGGTTAATGGCAAGTCGTTAATTGTTATCATAGCCTCCTTATCATCCATATTTATTGTCCGCAGGTTTTTAATTAACAGGGAAAAATGCTTGCCGATGGCAAATCAGATGAATGCCGTTCCTCAATTACGTATCACTGATCACAAACGCACTTAATTTTGCTTGGTCAATCGAATTAAAGGGCATCCTGCTTGTCGTGCCGACTGTTTCCGCCGACCATATTCTGTTGTTCATCTGTGCAATGGAAAAATCATCCTCCCCCACCTGCTGTTCACCTGCTATTAATTCATGCGGAGATAAGCTCGAGATAAAAAGCCGAATAGCCCTGATATTCAAACAATTGGAGGCGACGATTTCAAATTGAATTATTTGAGGCTAAAACTACTGTAAAAATACTTTAAGTGACCGCATTTAAATTCACTTTGCCTGTTTAGGTGAAAGGGAAATTTTCCCCACCTGCGGGAAATCTGATCATCCTGAGCCACATGGAGGGCAGATAACATAAGCAAACATACACGGTGATTGCCACTGTTATTTTACGATCAAAAGTTCTAATAAGTGAGGGTTTTTACGGGCATCTTTACGAAAATACTGGCTGTTCAGTGTTCTACTGAAATTACTTTTTTGGGTCATCAGTGGCGTAGATAAGAAGTACTTTTCGTAAATATCAGTGGTAAAACTAATCAAAGTTGGCGCCCAGACGCCATTTTGAAAGTAAGACTTGAGGTCTTGTGACACCTCAAATGAAAGCTAGTTTCAACCTCTATTCACTGCCGATTAAATTTTTCAAATCGATGTAGCCCTTGAGCAGAAATGACGCAAAATAGCTATTTCTAGGTAAAGTTTCCGTCATTTCTATGCAACCGCTTAACCGATTGCAAAACAGAAAGCAGCAGCAAAGAGACGATGAAAATACCTTTCATTTAAGGTGCCACAAGGCACACTTTCAATTTGATTTTTTATCAAAGATGGCGCCCATACGCCATTTTGAAAGTAAGACTTCAGGTCTTGTGACACCTCAAATGACAGCTAGTTTCAAGCTCGCATCTTCAGGGGTGTGCCACAAGTGGCTTTGGCCCCTCTGAACATGCAAGCCACTCGTGCTTGCGAAACGTCAAGAAGAAATTCTACCGAACGACGGCCTAAAAACTCGAAAAACCCATTAGTTTTACCAGTTATATTTATGAAAATTGGTTTACTTGGAAGGATCTTAGTATTTTGCTGAAACTGGGAAACTTAAATGAAAAATTCAAATTTGGTTTTTTGTCGATCGTCCCATTTTTGCTCATTTCTCGGAGGCAAAATGAGCAAGAACGCTCATTTGTACGTCATTCTATAGAGAAATAAATGGCCTTTTTGGGAAGTGAACCATCGATAAGGAAATGTTGGCAGTTTTCTCAAAAAATGCTTGAATTCAGGAAGTTTCAGAAAAAAAAGGAAGTTTTAGCAGAACATGACGCTGTTTTTTTCAAAGTTTCTCAAGAACCATTCGAGCCAGAGAATTCGTTTTGGCATCGTTGGATAGAGAATTGAATGACCCCCCATGACCCAACCAATAAAAATATATTTTATTTTCTCTATGATCAAGACTGTTCTAAGAGTTTTCTGTATACCGAGATGAAGCTGAAGAGATCGAGAAATCTGATGCCCATAAAAGATCAATACCCGAGTAAACAAGGGTGCAAACTAAACATAACAATTTCTTCTGGAAATACCCAAACTGCTTAAGCATCTACTGAAACCCCAAAATCTTATTTAGGCACAATTTCACACCCTTCTCGGAAACTTTCAGGTAACCGAGTTGTCCAAAGCGCAATATTTTGTCGTTAAATAATTCAGAGATTGTTGTCACATTCGTTGAGAACCACCCAGTAAAATGTTCTTAAGAACAGAACGTTTGCCCTTAAAAAACAGCTAGCAATTGCCTTGAAGTTTATCAGGGCACTTTCAAACTTTTGAGACACCCTGTAGCTTACATACACCAGAGTGTATGACGGTACGGCAACAGATTATGAAGCTAATCATTTGAAAACATCGATAAATAAGATAAAGCGATGAAAGCCAGTCATTTATAAAGTGCAAATAATCGATATTTAATGCAAGTTTTATGGCCACACCGGAACCAGCCAGGTACTTTACCCTGTAAATCAATCGAACCCAAACGAACCCATGGCTAATGGCCTATCTGAGATGTCAATTTGCAGTATCTTGTTAGGCTCAATTGCCCATGGGTCAATTGTTCGTCGGAGAAAGTCCCTTTCAGCATCTAAGGGTTTAGTTCTTGCTCAGCTTAGCTAGTCAACAGAAGGCGAATTGACGCGAAAGAAACAGTGTCCAACTAGTTCTTCAGGATTTACTTAGTAGTGAAACCCAAAAATGGTAAGTACTGTAAAGTACTAATCACTAAAAACTTTGGTGCAAGCAACTCAGCCCCGCCGCGATTCCTTTATCAACATTAACCGGTTTCCGCGGAAACCAGCATGCTCGCAAGCCCGCATTGGCCCAACTGGCGCATATCCCTGGTGTGAAATTGGCAAGGACCGCATGCACCAATCATTTTTTTCAATTGCAAAGATCAGCGCACTTTGCACTGGTAGTAATGAATTGTTTACAAGTCTTTTTAATCGCTGTCCCAGTTTGACCTGGCTCACTCTCAGCTAATAATAGTCCGTTGTAAATAAAACAATCCAGCTGTATCTTTGCCAATTCGTAGCCTCGTGAATCGACAGGACACAGTCGGGAATCGTGTATTTTTCATCATAAGTCTACGCAGTTATCGAAAACGGGTTTGTTTTAAAGTTTACGGGCAGCAATGCCGTTCTGGATCACGAGAAAGGTGCCCCAACTAGTTTATCTTAAATTTCATTGATTGCTTAAAAAAATTTAGTTTGCGGAAATGGAGGAAAGTGGCTTAGATGCGGCTTGTGAGGTAATTTGCCCAGAACACACGCATCAATTTACATCCGCCGCCTCTTTTCTTCCTTCATAACTTGATAGTTAATCGATTGTGCTTGCAGAGTCGCAAGCAAAGTGTCATAACGTACGGGCCTGTGGAGATCGCCCATAAAGGCTACCGGTTTTTGATAACCATGAAGCCCACACATGCCGGAATGATGGAATACCTCCACGAAATGAGGATCCACAACGTGCAGACTGTTGTGAAACTATGCGAGGAGAATTACGACACCAAAACACTCACTAATAATGGAGTTGCTGTCCTGGACATGTCCTTTCCGGACGGAAAGCCGCCGCCGGACTCAGTGATTGAGGAATGGTTTAAGGTGAGTCTGTTTTACACTTTGAGCAGACCAACTGAAAACTTGCCCAAAGAAGCCCTTAAATAACTCAATTTTCTGTTAATTATTCAGGTGCTTACAACCTCCAGAGGGACAAACACAAATGCCTGTGTAGCAGTTCATTGTGTGTCCGGATTGGGCCGAGCGGCTGTTCTGGTCGCAATCGCCCTTATTGAACTTGGATTAAAGTATGAAGACGCAGTGGAAATTATACGGGAAAAGCGACGTGGTGCCATCAACAGCCGGCAGCTCGAGTTTCTCAAGAAATACAAACGCCGCCATCGGCTAGAGAACGACAAAAGTAAATCGTGCATTATATGCTAGGGAAACTGAAGTTTCCAAGATCTTCACTTGTACTTAAAGTTGCCACTAGCTATTAGTCAACTCAATCGATTTAGACTTAGGACATGTTCTGTGATTGAATCTGAAAAACGATGTAAAACAATTAATATACCGCTGTTCATTGCCATGATATGAAGCAGTCATTTTTTAAAGCCCTAATAAACAGATGGCTAAATGAAAATCTAAACTATACATAAACAGTTTACTCGCATTCATTACAGATCATTGCAAAAACATCCGAGAACCCAGATATATCTGTGTGAATGAAGATGTTGCATTGTTTGCACAGAGTGGAATCTTGCCTAATCTTCCCGTATAAAACCAATGTGGCAAATTTTTCAGCCTCATTGTTTCGAAAATTACACTATAAGTTTACATCCCATAGTTATAACACGCTCGTTCGTATTGCAAAGATGCAGAAAGTTTGTGCGACACTGGCTTTTTGTGGTGCTTTATTGGCGCATTATGTAATTTGCGTAAGTATTAAATTGCCTAAATGTTTCATTTTTCATTAACAAACAGGAATTTTTCTGCAGCGTTTAAATATTTTTCGTGCATTTGTTTTCATTTTAATCGTCTGGGAGGCTCAATTGCAGTGCAAACTTCACTGTTTATATCTGCGAACGGCGGTTTACTTTAAATTTGCTCAGAAAAATGTGGCTTTTGTGCGAAAGATGCCAGTATTTTCTCACTAGAGTTTTATATAGAAAACAGTTTTTTTCTTTTTGCATCTAGTGACAAAAATAGCACTTTACCTCAAATGGTTCTTGCGCCATGAGGACAATCGTTGATTCAAATAAAGTTCTTTTTAAGTAACAATTATTAATGAATCAGTGTGGAAAGCTTCACCTGATTTGGAAAACTCGCTGGCTTTTCAGGGAATTTGACTCGTGTGTTTATAAGCTCGGTTCAAAATTGCACGCTTATCTATAAAAAACAGAGCAAAAACTTGCAAATCTGGCTAAACCAATCGCCAAAAATTGAGATGCTTATAAAAGAAGAGTTTGTTAATGCGTGTACAAAATTCTAATAGATTTGGAAAGCTGGTTGATTTTTTGGAAAATTTTAAAACTTCGTTCGATCGTAAATGCTCCTATAAAGGGCCACTTCTTTAAAAAAATCACAATTGGCAAAGTCGAGCAGATCGAACTATGAATTTTCAGATATTGGTCCAAAAACCCGTAATTGATAAGCGCATAGAGTTTCCATTGGCTTGAGAAACTCGTTAATTATTTATAAATTTTTCACTACCTAACGCGCACAGTTGTCTTACAAATTCACAACTCAACCCCGAGCTGAAATAACGCACACTAAAAAAACAGATCTTGCTTCAAAACTGTAGAAAATCGACTCCAATTGCAAAACTCGTGCAAAACTCGCTGGTTATCCACAAATTTTGAATCTTTTTGGGGTTGAAAACGCGGTTGAAAAGTGCACTTCTGTAGTTAAAAATTTACATCTCAAAAGTTCGGGCACATAAAATGCTGAAGCTTCAGACATGGATAGGAGAAGCTGTTGCTAATAAGTGTACAAAACTCTAATAGATTTCGAGCACTTCTTGATTTTTTGGAAAATTTCAAACTTTCTGTTCGTCCATTAATATCCCTCAAAAGAGCGCCGCTTCCTTCGAAAAATCGCGGTTTGCAAAATCTAATCGATCAAAGGCTCATTTCAAATGTTGATATAAGAAACCTTAATTAAATTGATTTGAGTAACTCGATTTTCTACAAAATTTGCCACTTTTGATATTTATAACGCGTCCCAAAAGTGCACCGTTACTTAAAAAAATCACAGCTTTCAAGCTCGAGCCGAAAAAACGTTGAAATAACGCACACTGAAAACAGAAAAACAGAAATCTTGCTTGGTAATTCTAAGGAAAAATTGTTGATTTGCAAAAACTCGCTGGTTATCCTCGAATTTTGTATCTTTTCGGGGTTGAAAACGCGGTTGAAAAGTGCACTTCTGTAGTTAAAAATGTACATTTCAAAAGCTGGGGCACATAAAATGCTGAAGCTTCAGACATGGATAGGAGAAGTTGTTGCTAATAAGTATACAAAACTCTAATAGATTCCGAGAACTTCTTGCTTTTTTGAAAAACTTCAAACCTCAAGATGTTCACTATTATAACCAACTCTGATAAAATCGCATACAAATCAACGGTTTGTTACTAAATTCTACACTTGAAAACTGAAAAATTGCCCAAAAACCAACTGATAGGTATCGGGAAATGTGATGTTTGTGACAATATAAATATTAAAGCGATAGACTCCCATGACCCATACCGTTATTCAACCATCTATGATTCAACCGGCAGCATTTAGGACGAAAGGATTCACAGCCGACTGCCCAGCCTAATTTTAAATATTCAGAATCTGAGATGAAGCGGCTGAAAATTGCAAAACACCTGTCGTTCAACCGTTCTGGAACGTTAATTTTCACATATTGTTCTTGTGAAAAAATCGCCTGCTTGGCCAAGACGATTATCAGCATTTATTCGGATGGCTGCGATAATAGACCAACCTTGGCTTGCAAGGACGCATTGATCATTGCTTGAGGAAATTACTGGCTGGCAAACAGTTAATACTGATTATATTTTCTAGCAATTAGATGGATACATTCCCGGACAAGATTACCCGATTTACAGCGAAATTCCGGCCGGATTATCGTTTCGATGCGAACAAAACCGAGCTGGGTATTACAGCGACCCGGAAGCCCAATGCCAGGCGAGTTTCATAATTTTTTGCCGCATTATTTCGTTATTTATCATTAGCTTTGCAGGTTTGGCACTGGTGCTTACCCAATGGGCAAAAGTTCAGTTTTTTGTGCCCCAATGGGACCGTCTTCAATCAAATCGCTCGAGTTTGCGATTGGTGGTTCAATGTGGATTGTGCAAGCACCCCCAACTACTACGGAATCAATGAAGATCTCTACATAGTTCCTCCTCCTTATAATCGAAGACGTGATTAAAACTTACATATTTTTATTTATATAGGAAATAATGCTTCGGCTAGGGTTCAACGAATATTAACAACGTACAGAGAATTATTCAATAAATTGTTTGAAAATTATATTCACTCTTAAAGAACCGGCGAGCTTGATTGATTCTGAAGAATCTCCTCATAATAATTGGTTCAGTTGCTTAATGATGACTTCAGCATTCCTGGTCTCTGCTGCAGCTCGATCTTATGGAAAGTCCAACATCTGAAACAACGCTTGCTGCATACAGGGGGTTGGAATAGTCTTATGTCTATATTTTTACCGATAAATCTTTTATTATTACAACTATTATAATACAGGACGTGCGGAAATAAATGAGTCAAAACTAAGACAATGTTTGCTTTAACAAAAGCCACTTGGGCCAAAATACCGCTTTTTGCGTATTGATCAAAACGCTCTTCTATTAAACCCCGGCGGTTTTATGACACTACAGTAAAATAAAAAAATGATTTCTTTGCCTATTTTGGAGCCAAAAGAGTCACTTCAAAGCACCTGGTCGCGTTTTTATTGCTTTAATATGAAAAAAATGACTTCATAATAGACCCAACGTTACTATTTTGCGATTATTAACAACATTAAAGTCATTGAGGCCGCTGATTACGGTGGCGAGGTTGAACAGTTGTTTATTGCTATGAAGGCATTCGCCATTTTTTCCAGAATATTTTGCAACATTTTTGACAAACCCGATGAGTCGATTCTTTTCGCTTTAATCAACATTTATTGCCTCCTTTATCCCAAGGCTAAATCTAAAGAAAATAAGGCGCTAAAAAGATGCAGTATACGACATTGCAACCCCGTGAACTATCGAGCCTCTTTGGCGCTTTAAAAGCAATCACAGAGGTATTTTTCGGGGCAAATTTCAGATAGCCGATTTCCAAAAGCCATAGCAGCTGCTTTACAACAAATAATAGCAAACTTACCAGTTGAGCCAGAATACATTCAACCTGGTCCAGTGTAACGGTGGTCTTGTCCTCCAGTTGCGCCTGATAGCAGGCCCTGGCGGATGCCTCAATTGCCATCACTTTTGCAATTTCCACCACCAAATCAACCGCTTCATCCGATATTTTGTTCTTCGAGTTGTTGAATTTGCTTTTCAGTAGCTCTTTAACAATATCCTAAAAGAATGTAGGGTTTGAAGGCATCGCAAGCAGCAGTTGGACAGGGCTTACATGGCGGAATGTTGTGGAGATTTTCGTGTGCAGGGCTGCGCCGTCAGACATGAATCTTCCCGATTGTGGAAGCTTGAAACTTAGAAATTAAGGAATAATACTGAAATTTGGTGAACTTGTGGTTGTTGTGACAAGGGGTGTCAAAATAAAATATGGATTGAGGGTTAGGGTTGCAGAATATCCAGATCACAGAGTAACCTCTGAACAAATGAGCTGCTTTCTGTTTACCTCATGTCAAAGTTCCAAATGAAAACATTGAAAAAGCGCAAAGAAAGTGGAAACTGTGCAAAGTGAAAGAATGAATCGAAAGGGAAAGTGCCACTTTCATTGAAGAGAAACCCCTGTTGTACAAATGCGTTCGTCTATTAGCTACATCCTATCAACAAGCAGTGCTGAGCCAAATATGTCTCACCCCGATTATGACCAGATTTCTCATGATCATGCTGCTCTTTTGATACTAGTTAAACACATAGGGTCGCAGCTGAAGCCCAAAGTCTTCACGAAGTTCTTCGAGCGAATCGCCAAGCTGAACGAGGTGAAAATCACCGACTCTGCTGGACAAGTGCGAAACATCCTCATTAGATACATTAGGGAACATCCAGTGGAAAACAACGACTGGGGCGACTTTCAAACCCATCGGCGCCTCATCGGGCTGATCTCTATAGGCAAGTACGATTCGCAGGTGGAACTGAACGAGGTCTGCAGAGTGCACGAGAGCCTGAAAGTGAAATACAATGCCACCTTGTATGACTCCAGAAGCATCTTATTCGGGCCCGCCAAAGAAGCTGAGTCGCCAATTGATCGGTCCAGCGGCTCAGAGGAAAGTGAAATTAAAGAGGCGGGCATAGAAAAATACACAACCCCCAGTAACTTCAAAACCCGGGCGCTGTTCTACGATGAAGTGTCCCCATGTGAGGACTTGGAGAATCAGATCACCGAATTTATCAACTCCCTGTTTTGGGTGCTGGAGTCCAAACGCCTGGAGCGATCCAGGGAGAAGCTGGAGCGAGTTTCCCTACTTTACGCCCCGTTTGAGAAAAAGGACTTTGTGGGCTTGGACATGGAGTCGCGCCAGAATAAGAAGCGATGCACCGGCCGCATGACCAAGCATTTGGGCGATCTTTGCCTGCAAGCCGGCCTTATAACCGATAGCTTGCAATACTACAGCAATGCGGCCGAAGTGCTCAAAGGCGTCAATGACTGGCTGTGGCTGGGGGCGGCCTATGAGGGCCTGAGTGCGGCTTCTGCGTTGGTTCTCTACCCCAACATGCAACGGAACGAAAGTTTCCAGCGCATCGGGAGCCTGCCGGAAGGCTCCCCTAAGAAACCCATTGCAGAGATTCAGCCAACCGCCGCCCCTGTGAAGAAGAACATTCTCAATCTGCTGCCCCCCGATGATATTTCAAAGCGCTACAGAGAGGCCATCATCCACTACAGCAAGTACCAGAATGCCGGGATCGTTGAAACTGAGGCCAGCTTCAAGGCGGCCCGCATTTCAGTTGAGCAAAACCACGCTCTGCAGGCGGCCAGCTTTTTGCAAAATGTCGTCTACATTAATCTGGCTCTATCAGAGCAGGAGAAAATACAGCGCTTTGAGACTCTGGCCCATCTGTACACGCAAATTGGCTTTAACAGGAAGGCGGCCTTTTGCCTGCGGCTTGCGGCTACCAGGTACTAGCAATAGATGTTCTAAAACCCTAGAGTTTTTGCGTAACAAATTCGTCACTTTGCGACTTTGCAAGTCTGAAAAACTGTTCTCTTGAAGAGTTGAATGCTGATCGCACCACAAGCTCTAAAAGCAGCAAAATCCCGATGAAAATCTTTCTACTTTCTAGATATGTTTCTCCTCAGAACCCAAGTCCCAACTGGAACAAGTGCTACTCCTTGATGCTGCAGAGTCTATCTGGCCACAAGCTCATTCTGGATCCAGTTGAAATGCTTCAAGCCGATCAAGGCTGGCCAGCCTTACAGATCCAAATCCTGCAGGTGAGCGAAGCCTTAAACCCAATCCACCACCTCCCACATAGCAAAATGATATTCCCAGAATATACCTGGAACATTCATGTGATGTACATGCATATTCCTGGGACATACATGAGTTACATTATGAACATTCCATGTCAGAGTTAATACACTGAATGTTCATGGTATGTTCAGTGAATCTATATGGTATGGTCAGGGAATATACATACATATACGTAACGAAAGAAAACCGATCCTTTATTTCATCTTATTAGTTTATTCACATATTTAAGTATTTACTGATGTAATTTTTCAACAACAAGAGTTACTTGCAACTAATCTAAAACTAATTAAATGGATAATAAATAAATTAAAATATAACTTATAACTACGGACTAAAAACCTAAATTAACATTTTCAGCATTTTTGCCGTTGTCGCAATGATGTGTGACTGTGAGATAAAACACAAACCTTTATCTAAAAAACTGCACTTATTATTTTA